TAAACATAATACCCCTTGGAAATAAAACAAGTTATTAAGTCATTTAATTTTTTTGCGTTTTTGGAAAATTTTATTTAAATTATTTTACTTTTTTGTTGCAGTTTTTGACGCTGATTTGATGCCTATAATTTTGTTGTGTTTTAATTTACATTAATTTATTTTTGTGTGATTTTTTTAGCTTTGTTCTTTGTTGGGAGTTTTCAAATACCGATTCAATTTGTTTAAATAATTCGCTTGCACAATATGTTTTTAATTTGCTCTGGTTTTTTTTATATATATATATATAATGTTATACAATATATTTCATATAATTATTTAGTATTTATACATAAAAATAGTTTCTGTAGCACATTTTTAATTTTTCGGTTTTATTATTCTTGTTTATCAAATTGTTTGTGGCTGCTTCTGACGACACACGGCAAAGAGCGAGAGGCAAAGAGTTGAACAGAAAGAAAGGAAAAGAAATAGAGGGGATATGGAAAGTTATAGAAATTAAATCTACCGATGAGAAGAGCATACATACATTTGGTGGAATACATATGGCAAAAAGAAAGCTTCTTCTCGATTCGAATAAATCATAATAAAATAGAATAATCGCCTGGGCCGAGGGCGAGTTGCGATTCTGCTGTTTCTTGGTTTCTTGATTTCTTAATTTCTTGATTGGTTTCTTGATTCAGACACATGCATTTGCTCGTGGTCCGCGCTCGATTAAAATGGCTTAAATAAAAACTTGCTTTAAAATGGAGACACACAGCTGTCTCTCCTCTTGAGCGGATAGGGAGGGGGGTCTACATTAAAATCGAGGGGATTAGGAATTATGGTTTAAAATTAATTACAATGGGTCTTCGTTGGCTGGTTGGTTGGTGTACAAAAGCAAAGAACGCAAATCGTGGGTTAACTAAAAAATGAACACACGACAAAGGAGCTACTCGTAATTTCTCCCGGCATAAATACTAATATAAACGCTTCGCCTACCGAATCAACACAAGTGTGTGTGTGTTAGGGTGTGTAATTAATTAATATAATTAAAAAGTACATACAAGCTAGGCGAATACCATCCTCATTGCAGGAATATTGGACTGTTCGAATCTCTCATTTGTCTGCCGTTTGTTAATTACATTTTACAGCGCTTTAAATAATTTATTATACAAATGTGTCTTTGTGGACCCGCGAACGAAAAAAAAAGAACTACTTCACATTATCCTTATCATTATCCTCTCTCTCTCCATCGCCAGGACCCTTTAAACACATGCAGAGCGGAATTAGCTGCGCAGGGAGGAGTACAATAGGCCTCGTAGATCTTTTCTTCAAATAGAAAACTCTTTCGCTAAGCTAAACCATTAAGTGGCGAATGTTCATCGTTATGTATATCATTTCTCATTTCTAGTTTTCGTTTTGTTTTTTGTTTCATTTCCTATCGAACGTTTTTTGAGTATGCCGCAGGAGGCTCGTAATAAGAATCACTTGTGGTTATGGAACTCATCACATGAGTTCCAGAAGGTTTTGAAATGTTTATGAGAAATCCCTAGGCCCTAGACAGTTTTTGGGGGCGCTGGAAAATGGAATTTGTATTTCCAAAAATATTAGAAACCTGCCAGTGGCTTTGCTTGAGTCTTAAGACTACTCACTATCAAATCACTTACAAAAGTTCTCTTGGTAAACAATTCGATTTCTTTCATGATATTTTTGTTAATAGAGCTCATTGGCATGCCTTTGCAGTTTCCCTCTTTAAATACTATGCCTCCAAAAACTGATAAAAGCCTGCACAACAACTTGCAGACCATTAAATGATCTAACAGCTGTATCAAATTGTGGTTTTCTTCGTGGCTCTTCTCAACACTACTGGTCCTGCGTTCTCTACGAGTCTCTGCCTATTCACTTGATGCTTAAATAATGTTTTCTCATGTTGTTCTGGTTCTGGTTGTCGCCGCTGCCGCTGGTGTTTTGCTGTGGTGTCTGTGTTGTTGTTGCTGTTGCTGGTTGACTACGCGGCTCAACACTCACTCTGCGACATGTCGATCTCCTTCTTCACGCTGCGCGACAATCGATCCAGTTCGGCGGCCGCATCCGTGCGCACGGCCATCTTTTCGGGCGTCATCATGGCATCCGTACCGTTGGCAGTACGACCCGGTCCCGCCGGACTGCCAGCGCCGCCCGGACCGCCACTCGCCGGACTGCCCGACTTTTTGTGCAGCAGCGAGTTGAAGAAGTTGGCCAGAACGCCCTCGGCGCCGGGTGTGGCTGGCGTCAGCTTGGGATCAATCTGAAAATGAAGCAAATAGGTTTTAGAAATAAAGTAATATTTAGCTTATTCATTACACCCACCTTCTTGGGTGAACTCTGTCCTGCGGTGCCGGGCGTTCGGGGTCCGCTCTTGTTGCTGCCCACTCCCTGCGATCGCAGTGGCGACTCACCGCGCACCTGGTCGCCCTGCTTCAGGATCTCCTGCTGGCGAGCCAAAAAGGCCTGCTCGTCCTCCGTCTGCACTTCTGTCTCGCGATTGGAAACCGCCTGGAGATAATAATAATACATATTAGCATTTAACAAGCTACTCACTTAAAGAGAAGATAGACATACCTTTCTAGTTGGCGGCGATTTGATGATATCTGTGTAGGGATTCTCGGCCTTGACTCCATGCATATTCTCGTACAAAATACTAATCTTTTTCAGGCTATCCCAGCCAGCCGGACTAGAAACAATGATAAAACCAATATAATATAGGCATTTACTTTAAAACAAAGCATAATGAGACCCACATGAGTACCGCATCCTTCTCAACGACTAGCGCTGGCGTACGGAATGGTAGACCATAAATTCGATGCGTCAGATATTTGTAGAGGAGATCACAGTTTTTGTCTTCTTTGACGCTCGTATAAAAGAGCGAGGTGCCATGCCGCAGGCAGAAGTTACGAATCCACTGCTGGATGAAGTCGAAGTGCTCGTCGCGATACTCGTACTCCTTCTCCAGTGTGGTCATGTAGTCCGTCTGCAAGGGAAAAATAAAACGGTTGTGTTATATTGCATTTTCATTTGTGTCGACCAAGAGATCGGCCTGGTACCAACCTTTGTGACCACTACAACGATGTCGAGGCCCAGATTTGTAATTAGTGCGTCCTCCGTCAGCGGCAGCAGGTCATCCTCGTCGATCGAGTTGTTGCGCATCGTCCGCTTGACCGGGGAGCCCGGATCCAGGTCATCGCCCACCTCGCAGTAGCTCTGCCACGTGGTGGCCAGTCGCTGGCGGGCCGCCTCCTTCTCTTTGGCGTCCAGCTGCAGGCTCTCGATGTGCTGGCCCAGGACCTTGATCCAGTGATTCAGCTGCTCCAACCAGCCCCACGGCTGCGTCATCGAAACGGTGAGGATGACGAGGGTGTGTGCATAGTTCGTTTCATTGAGCGCATAGTGTAGCAGGTTTGTGTGTCCTGGATCGCCGTCCAGGACCCAAACGCCCAAACGCGTCATGTCTGTATGGGTACATTCAATAAGTATAATTCATATAAAATGCTAGTACTTAGTACTGATCCACCCACCGTCTCTGTACTCGTCCTTGACATCGATGTAGGCATACTCCAGGCCGGAACCCTTCTTTGGATCCTCGACGCCCTGCAGTTTGGCTATGAGTGTCGTCTTTCCGGTGGCATTGTCGCCTAATACTAGTACAGATTTGTTTGATGGAAGTTTTGTGCTGCCCTGTGTTTGTACTTCATTCAATATCGCCGACCTGGAAAAATAAACAGGTGCTTTATTAGAACAAGATCAAATTTGAAAGTAATAGGTTTTATAAAGATACAAAGCTTTAGGTACAATATGCATATAAAATCTGCCTTAAATCTTATTTCCATGATCTTCAGACTTTTAGGAACTGTGCGAATTATACGCATTCTACGGCTTTTCCGCTGACACAGCGTAATCGTATTTGGGTCAGAGCTCCGTCATTCATTCACATTTCCCTTTTTGCAACATTCCGCCATCAAGTTAATTGGCGGACCCCCACTCTCCATTTATATACGTATATAAAAAACGCCTCTTATAGTTCCCCCGCCCCACGGTTCGTGCTCAATTTTAGTGTTTAGGAACTACGTCAATATTTGATATGGTTTGCATGCGATTTACAAACGTGGCAGCAATGTCTGCAATTCAATTAGACCAATTAAATAATTTTCAATTGATGTGAAGTGAAATACTTGTGCTCGTACTATTCTGTCGGACAGAATGTCCTGTCCCGCCTGCCAGGACATGCAAATTGACCACAGGTCCTGCTGCTCCGCACTCGCCGCGCGTATCTCCCGATTTCTCCATGGGACTATGGGGAATATCGATTGCCGAGCACTTTTCCAGTACTTTTCGATTGTTTTGTTTTGGTCGGTTCCTTTATTGAATGCAGCGCTTTCTAATTTGCCTATGAATAAGGCACAGTGGTTCGGGACACCAAAAATATATAACCTAATAGATTGGTATTAATATTTTTCGGATTAATATTTAAGATGTTCCCATCAGGATTTTATAGTTTAGTTCTTTTTTTGCCCTTTGCCCTTTATAAAATCTTTTCTTAATATATCCTTGTCCATTTTGTTATTTTATACTTTATTTAAAAGTACTTTTTTATAAACCATTTTATAGGATTGATTAAATCTATAAAAATAATAAAGCAATAACTAGCTGCTTTAATTTAATCAAATCTACTAGTCTTCCCTTTCCTTTCTATACCTTTAATTCCCCTAAAATACCCTTCCAAATTCCGCATCGTTCTCCGTAATTTTGCGTTGACCCACTTCGATGGAATATCCACCTGCGCCCCACTGTGCGGTAAACGAACGATTTAACGTTCTCCCTTTGGTGGTGGCTAGTCGCCTGGCGGGTGCTTCGTGGACTCCTTCAAAGGGGTGGAGTCGGAGGTGGAGAAGAAGGTGGAGGAGGTGTGGTTCCCCGTTGGCATGGTGCACGCGAAAAAGCCAAACGAAAGCTAAATTTTCCAGGCAAACTCTTCGCTGCCATCGAGGAGTCCGTTCAGAACTATTGGTTGCGTTGGTTCAGAGCTGCGTAGTTTTCATATTTTTTTTCGTTTAAAACTAGAACATACGACTATTGACCATTAGTAAGCTTCAAAATGAGCTTGCTTTTGAGGCGACGTTCGCGCAGCGAGACGCGTCCTCAGGAGATTCCGGCGGATAGGGCCAAGCAGCCGGAATCGCAGAAACCAGACAGGCAGTTGCAGCAGCAGCAGGCGAGGCACCACCACCAGATGCGCCACCATCCACATGCCAGCGATCAGAATCTGAACAAACTGGGACTGGCTTCCAGTGGCTCCAGTGGAATGGGCAGGCGCAAGACATCGGCGGAACTGATTAGCGAGGCCAAGATGTTCCTGGGCGAGTCGGTGGGCGCGGTTCCTTTGATGGCCACCGGCGGTGCCCGTTTGGTCAGCACCCGACGACCAATCACGCCACGCGAATCCGGAAGGGTTTTGTATGGCAAAGTTGCCCTGGCTGGCAGGCCACCAAGTGCTTTTTCGTAGGTTACCCTTGGAGGAATCTATGCAATAGCTTTTCAAGTTAATTTCCTTTCCTCTTTTCACAAAGCATGCGGTATCTGCAGAACGAGAAACCATCCACGCCCCGCCAGTTGCCGGCTTTATCTGGTTCTGGACCCGCCACGCCCATGCCCACCAGAAATGGAGCTCTACTCTGCCAGTCCAGCACAGAAACCCTGATTGAATTGCTTAAGCAGCACCGTGGTCTCAAGGATTGCAGCGATGAGACAGTCCAGCACATAAATGCGGCAAGTAATGGGAATTTCCCTGGGTTTTTGGGGGTTTCCATCGAGTGTTCCCCATCTGTATTTCACCATTTTGGTCAAGAGTTATTAATATTATATCACGGTGCCTTCCAAAACATCTGCTTCATACAAATCAGACCTGTAATTAGCGTAATTTGCCTTATTACAGATCCTCCAGGAGCTTTACACGCGTGTGAGAAAGCAGGAGCGCAGCTTTAAGCGTGGCTTTATTCTAGGAGGTCTCTATGGACTGGTGGAATGCAGTTCTCCACGTGTTCTTTTGGCTGTGGCTCGTGTGGTTTTGGCTGTGAGTCATCGTTTAATATATCCTCCTTCTGATTTTCCTTGTTAATATCCCTTTTTCCAACTCTTTTTAGCTCAGGGTGACGGGGAGTAATCTCACGGGTGCCTGCAAGCTGATCTTCAAGGTGGCCAGGCACGAGCAACATGATGCCCTTTTCCACGAACACGATGTGCTGGAATTGCTCATCGATGGCCTGGGACACGCCTCGCCCCTGGACGAGCCGGAGGCTTGCATTTATGCCTATGGTTGCATCCGTTTCCTGACCGCCAGCAGTGCCCAGGAGCGCGATGATGCCCTCAACCGCAACTGGATTGGTTTGGAGACCTCCGGCGAAAGTCATTCGCTGCCCATTCCTGCTTTAATGCCTCCTGCTCTGTCGGCCATATCGGCTGGCCTCTGTCCCAGGAAATTGACGGGCCAGCAAACGTTGGTATCCCGCCTGGCTCGTCACGGTGCCGTGGAGCTGATGATTCTGCACCTGCAGATGCTGAACGAGGCGGGGGCCACCAAACGGCTTCAGGGTCCGCCGCTTCACACTCTCTATCAGTTGTCGGCTGCCATGAGAGCTCTGGCGGATGTTTCCCAGCAGCAACAGCGCTTGCAGCTCCAATTGCAACTGGCCTGTCCACATCTCATCCGGGCAGCCGAAGTTTCCATGGGCGAACTGGAGGTTCAGGCCAATGTGGTGCGCACTCTGAGGTGGGTTTAGTTATATCCATGTTAAATGAGTTTTTAATTAGGATCTATCTCTGGCAGCGTTCTTTCCGAGGACTCCGATTGCTGTGAAACGCTGCACAACTATGCCGCCAGGATTGGCCTGCTCCTGGGTCCATCTTGTGCCGGTGGTGTTCAATGCAGTGAGCGTCTCCTGGCGGTGCTGAGTCGTCTGGGCTACATGCTGGGCAACATACTGGCCAAACACGAATCAGCGCGCATACAGGTGAGTTATTTTATAACTATAAAACGTAATAAAACAAACTATTAATATATCTTCAGTACTTTCAAAACGATGTGGCCATGGAGTATCTTTTGAATGTCCTGGAGCAGCTTAACGAACGCTCACCCACCAGTGTGGCTCTTTTGGATGCCCAAATCAAGTTGATACGAGTGGTGGCCAACATGAGTGTGAATCCCGAGGTGGGCGCTGGCTTGGGAAATGTCCGTTCCTTGGGCGCCGTGCTGCTGCAGCTTTTAAGCAAAACCAGCGCCGAGTTGGCCCAGAAGAAGGTGAGTTGTTGAAGCCCAGTCCTGGCCAGAAATTGATGTTGCTTTCATTGTTCAGACGGCGGAGCAACAGGAGCTGCTGCACGCCACCTTGGGAGCCCTGCACAATCTGTGCTTCTATCAGGACAAACAGGCGGTTGTGCATCCACTGGCTGAGGGATCCCTTCAGAGTCTGATCGACGACTTGTCCGCCTCGTTGGCCAAGGTTTTAAGCAACTGTCAGACCTCGGTGACCAAAGTGGAGTTGGCCCGGGTGCTGGGCAATCTGACAAGGAACGAGCGGGCACGTCGATGTTTTTGTGCAGCCGGAGGTTTGCCATTGATGGTGCAACAGCTTACGAAGCAAGCAGCTGGCCAGGATTACGAACTGCGCACTTGTGCCATTGGGGTCCTGGTCAATCTCCTTGGCGATGGCGAACAGCGAGGACCTTTTCTGCAACTCCGAGGAGCGGAACTGCTGTCTCTACTGCTGCGTGGAGCCCTGGAGCAGGAGGATTGGTTCCTGGCCAATATCGTTTGCCAGGCCCTTTGGAATCTCCTCATCGACGGACAGTGTGCGGCTAATCTCTGCCAGAGCGGCAATATTCTCGACGAAGTTAGCGATTTACTGGCCGATTATCTCGATGAGGATCGATTACTGCCCGGCGATAACGATGAGGACGATCCGGAAAGGGAACAGGATGATGTGGATGCGGATACGGAAACGGATCCGGAAGCCCACGATGCTTTGTGGGAGGACTTTGCACTGGTGGCCACCGATTTGCTGGAACGCATCCAAAACAATTTCGATAGACAACATCAATCGCAGACATCCCCGCAAGTCGATAACGAAGATGATAAGGACGTTTTCATCGAGGAAATGTAGTAACAGTTCGTTTGATAGTTTATAGAATTTCTATGTGTGTTTATCTAACTATTATTCGATAAATATCTTTAACCAAATAATCAGAGCCAATTAAAAATGTTTCAAAATACTCTTCTAATTGCTTGAATTGGAGTTTTGAATGGGGATATAAAGTACTAATATTTAAATGGCTTGAATATTAGTACTTATCAATATATCGTTTTGTAAAACATAAACAATGATGACGATTTCTTTTGAAAGAGGAACTGTATTTCCGAACAAGTTCTTGGGGTCTGAGAACACTAAGCTACAAATTTTGCCTTTTCATTGAAGACTAGAATAGATGAACTGGGTCTGCTCAAAATACTTAAAACGAAAAGAAATCTGATACCTTTTGGCTAGCGTGTTTGCATATACATATTCTTGTTTAAGCTCAGTTACGTAAAATTGAAATATGATTTTAAACAGCAAATGCACAAGCTAAGAAAAACATTTGTGAAATCTAATATTCCTTTCCGGTATATACATTGTTTTGTTGGAAAAATCTATTATTTTTCAGGTGCGACTTCACTCCGCTTTTACCTAATTCTCTGAAATATCTCTATTTAATTCTAATGTCGTGTTTTAGTGATATTTATCTAATTTTAATATGTGATATTTATAATTTCCAGATTTTTTCCATGTCATTTAATGTTCAATAAAAATATTCCTACAATCCCTAGCTATGATAATCTAACATAACAAAAATATATTTAAGAGAACAGCTGTTTTTCTTTTCCATGGGCTTTTCCCCGATTATGTTGGCCAGTGCAGTTTAAACCAAACGACATATTCAAGTGATGACAACATCGTTCGCACTCACACACACACGCACACCGGCGGAAACCAATACACGCAGGTCTTAAAGCCAAGTTTGGGTTCCAATTGGAATCAGTCTTATTGGCGGGCAGCCCATTAAGCTGGGTTTTATTTATAAGTATGAGTATAGAAAAATTGATAAAGCGAAAAGGTAAGCGCTGCCCTCGATTTGTTTTTTTTTGTTTGGTGAATTTATGAATCATCCCCGCACATTGTTGCTCTTTTTCGCCCTCTCTCCCTCTATTTTCCTCTCTGTTTTTCTTTCTGGGCGTCTTTAGCTCTCGTTTTCTTCATTCTCTTTTCCTTGTTTTTGTAATATTATTTATCTACGCATTTTGTTTATAACAAAATGATTTCAAACCTTTGGTTAATCATTTGAGGTTAAGTAGAGAAATATGGGTAGAAAAAAAATTACAACATGCCCATTAAATCAGCTGGTTTTTTGGCCTGAGCAAAAAAAAGTTAGAAGTAGCCGGCTTTCACACTTTTTCAGGGAAACTAACGACGGTGAAATATCATAGAATATCAGTTACCAACGGGCAAAAATAAAGATAATAGTGGTGGCAAAAATTCAGCTAGCAAACGTCATCTAAAGAAAGTTATCAACAAAAAGAGAAAAATGGGAGCCCTCTCTTATGGGTTTAATTTTTGTTTATCTTATGCTCTTTTTTGTGGTCTAATTACCTTATAATTTGCATTTTTAAGGCGTTCTGAATAATGTTTATGTGCTATTTGGATAATTTATTGGATTCCGCTCTAATAAATTCAATTTATAGGTTTTCTAAAGTGGGTTTCTTCTACAGGAACTTTTCAAAAGGTTCCCCTTCTTGAATCTCTAAGGATTGATACATTTTAGTTTTGAAAGATGAGTTGTTTTGATACGCTCTTGAGTTTATATTGTTTGGAGTTCTATATTTGCTTGACCTATACGGTCTACCTTTTTAATAGCCAAGTAGATTGTATATCATATTGGCTCTATCTATTATAACTGGGTGATGGATAAATAAATATTTTCTTGACAGTCTAAGACGTTGAACTCGTATGTTTTTGGAAAGTCAACGATTATAAATGGGATAATATGCAAAGTCTAGCTAGTTTTTTGTATAGATCTTAAAAAAGGCAAGTGACTTTAAGAAACCGGGTTTTATAAAGGACCTTTGTCTCGTTTAATTTTGGTTCTACCATATGAAACTATATTTTGAGGACCCCTTTTTTGGATTCAATTGCTTGGTACTTTTGGGAACCCCATTTTTTGGGTACCACTTTTGGGAATATTTCTTGGGGCTGCGACTGCACTCACCATAGGTTCTCCTTTTCCGCGGCCGCATCCTTTTTCTTGGTGGTAAAGGATGATGTCAGCGCATTCGTTTGCGTCCCACTGTCCAGTGCCATGTTGTTGTTGTTGTTGCTGCTGCAGTTCTCCTATTGGAACGCTCTCCTGCTCGGGTCCAATTGGGAATCGGGATGTGCTGGCGCTGCGAGAGGAGAGAAAGAGAGAGAGAGAGGGAGGGAGAAGGGAGATGAGAAACAGTTGGCAAACAAAAACAAACACATGCGCGACAGAGCGAGACGGCTGCCAGGTGTCGGCTGCATATGATTTTGCAGTCTATTTAAATAATTTTACTTTATTTGTTTATGGCGCTGCAAGGCTGCACACTTTTTTTTTGTGTGTTTCCCTGTGCATTCGTCACCGCTCTCTCACTGCGCCCTCTCTTTCTCTCTGTCTAACTTTCTGGCTTTTTGTTGCTTTAGTTACGACGCACAGCTGCTGACAAATTCGCAAAATTTCCTCTTCTCTTCTCTCTCTCTCTCTATATTTCTTTCTTCGTTTTTGGCTGCCCACTTTTTTCTTTTCGTACGTACGCAGTTTCTCACGCTCTTCGCTCTCCGGTGAAAACTCGCGGCCCTGGATTTTCACGCACGTCCGCTGGGCCTCCTTTCGATCGCTCCAATTGTGGCCGACGGAAAATAACAAAAAAATATCGACGGGCGAGCGAGGAAAATGAGTTTTTCGCAGCGGAAAAAAATATTTTGTACGACGAACTAGAGCTGGAACAGGAGTCGATGAATATGCGATAAGTTATCGATAACGATACCAAACCGAAATTAAAACGGTCTTACTGAAATGGCAGGTGCGGGACACCGCTAAGTTAGCTGTGACACAAACCGCGTATTTATAAGCAATTTTTTGGTATATACCCTAATAATACCAGACATATAACAGAAATATTCCAAAATGCCAAGTGGGCGTCAACCAAATTTACAAAAGGGATCAACTTTGTTGTTCTATTTGACATTATGCCATTATATCCACTTGTAATTCCCATAAAGTTCCAGAATTTTGTATGTTTTCATTTTTTTTTTTTTATATTTGTTCTTTAACAATGTACAAATGTGTAATACTGTCAAAATGTTCAAATATAAATACTAAAACGAGTACACCATTTCCTAATGAGCCATGTAAATTTTTATCATGTTGTTTTGGTAAATGCAACTGTCGCACAAAACTCACTTGTTTATTTTCCCTTTTTAAAATTTTACTTACTTAAAAAACTTATTTTAAGTTTTCATATTATTTTTATAATTGAAGAAATCATATTTTTTACTAAATAACTTTCACACATTTTCGGTGCACGTAAAGTTTCCGCGCCTGGTCACACTATATTACAGTATTTTATTTACGGTCTGCCTTGATCTTAACATTTATATATTTTACTACTAAGTGCTTTGTATATAATAAATATAAGGGAAAGGAATTTAGAGTCGGGACAATGCAATCCATTAGCCTTTTCTTGGCTGTGATTTTCTTCATAAGTTTGGTCCAAATCGATGGTGAGTTCGTGTTCCCGTTGAAGTCTTTTGTTTCTGTTGTGTGAGTTGTAATTGTGTGCGTGTTCCAATTGGATTTTCACATGGGGAAAACGGTCAAAAACTAGTTAACAAAATAAAACCGTTAAATTGTCTATAAATTTAGTTATTTTCCTTTCAAATATGCAGCATTTTGAACTTATATTGTTAATATATAATATATTTCTTATATTCCATTGACATTTTTAGCAGTACTGTATATAATTGGTTTTTAAATAATTTAAAACATAAATGACTCACTGTAAAATTAATAGGATAACTAAAATAACATATTTTATTTTGCCAATTGTGGGTGCTTTATAAAATGTTGAAATAGTATAATGCTTTCACATTACTTTCATTGATAATTACAGTTTTGAAGATAAGCAATTAAATAAATTGAGCAAAAAAAAAGGTAACTTTTAAATATAAAACATTGTTGTTTTAACATTTGTTTAAATATTTTTAAATCAATTTTTGTTCGTTTTTTTTGTATTATTTAAAAACTACTATATCGTACAGATCGTCTTGCATTATACCCCAAATAACCAACCCAAAGCTTATTTTTTGGGTTGGTTATACATTTTTAAATAAAACACTATTTAATAATTATCCGCTATCTTGCAGGCCTCCTGCGTCGCTGCTACCAGTGCCGATCCCGCGGTGAACTGGGCAGCTGCAAGGATCCGTTCACCTTCAATGCCACGGATGTGGAGCAGGAGCCCGGCGTGGCGGCCATTCCCTGCGCCAGTGGCTGGTGCGGCAAGGTGATCGAGGGCGGCGGCACCTACGCCATCGACGACTACGACCTGGCCATCCAGCGGATGTGCGTGCAGCGCGGTCCGGATGACAACATGGACCGCTGTGCGGACACCATCTACAACTACAAGAAGGTCTACATGTGCTTCTGCCAGGGCGATCTGTGCAATGGAACGCGGAGCTGGTCCAGTCCTCCTTCGATGATCCTGCTCCTGATCCTTCCCCTGCTCCCGGTGCTGCGGCAGTGGCTCCGGGCCTAGACTGTTTCTGTGCTTTTAGCCTGCAATGTATATACATGTTTTAATACTCATCAACACGAAATGCAATACCTACAATTTTAAAATACAAACCTTTTTGTTAATATTTAAAATGGTTTTTATTTCACTGGCTTAGATTTTATGTGATTTTTTAAGGGCATTAATAAATACTAAAAATATTTTTGTCAATATTAAAATGTTAAAGAAATGGGGAAAAAATGTGTTGAAAAAACTTAAAAATGTAAAGAGAAATATTTTAAAAATGAAGGAAATGAAGATCTATAAAATTTCCAGGAGTAAGTTTATGTACGATTTGAAAAAAGTTATTGAAAAGTATAAACAAATCTTTACACCAAGCAAAATTACGAGTATGTATACACCTTGTTTTCATTTATCAATTATAAAGTAGCAATGAAAAATAAGTCCATGTGTAAATTAAAGAACGCTTATCAACATAAGAAATCAATACAGAGAACAATATAAGCCACGCTTTATAAACGTGATTGGCCGTCTGACTCCCCACCCCAAGTTCCGAATGGGGGTCGATCGGCTATCAGCGAATCGCACAAAGAAACGCCATGTGCCCTTTTGCTCCACCAAAGAAGCCAGATAATATTCATATATATTTATTTGAATCACCTTTGCGTATGCAAATTTACATACAAACTTAACTAGAAGGGTTTCTTTAATGCGAACATGTACGAAAAAAAACTTTAGGTCAATTTTAAACTCGCCCTTGCTCCGAAATAGAAAAAATGGGTTAAGGTCGATCGAGGAGCTCTAAAGTTAGCTCTAAAACAGCGGAGCCAAAAAAGAGAAACGAAAAGAGGCGTCCAATAAATGCCCATGTCCATTGGACTGAGGGGGCAACTAACTCAATTCATCCAACAACTTTTGGTTTTCAAACAGTAAACAGGTGAAAATAGTATTATAAGTGTCCAACATCCTGTTCACTTGGTATCACGCTACTTCTCCAATTGCTCGCGCAGACAAGGCGGACAGCGGGAATTCTGGAGCTGCATTTGCTGGCGGTTTTTGGTGGTCTCGTGGCAGTCCAGGTGGTAGAAGCCACTACAGTAATGGCAGTACATCGCTTCGGGCTCTGAAAAACACAGAAGAAACCAGGAAATTAGAACGGGTTTCGAAAGCGAAATTAAATATATATAAGTAAGTACATTTAAGATTATTAGAGTGCATTAATTGAAGTCGATTGCAAGTATTTAAATTTAGTTAGTCTGCAAGTTTTTTCATAGAAACAAATATTTAACTAATTATCTAAATTCTAAAACGGCTGAGAGATGATGCAACAATTTTTACTAGAACTTTTTCCAAGTTACATAAAAGTGGTTTTGAAGAATAATTTAGTTACAAAAATATCAAAAGTATAAATCAGAATACATTTAAAACATTTCTTTAAGACTACAAGATTAGCAAGTGATTTTCGTCACCATAATTATTTCTGGAATATAAAGTGGAGTTACTTTTAAAACGGGTCTTGGAGACAACAACCTCATAATATTTCTATAACGTTTTAAATGGTATAAATATATTGACTGAAATTTTTCCAAGTTGCCTAAAAGCGTATCGAATTAGAACCATTTTTTTTAAATTTAAAATCAAAACATTCCTGAAAGATCTATATGTTTTATGGCTCATAAGAATGTAAAGTGACTTTCGTCACTATTTTTCTATACATTTAAAACGTTTCTTTGACATGACAAACTCCGATTAGCAAGTGATTTTCGTCACTTTGAGGATCTTAGCAAAGCTGAGATCATCGGAGAAGTTGACTTGCCATTTGGGTGCCTCATAAAAATATTCGGATGCTGACTCACCCACTCGGCGTTTGCACTCTCTGCACTCCCGGCACTTTCGGCACTTGGAAGCGCCGCTCTCTCCATGCTGACAGGGTGAAACTCCAGTTCCTCCTCCTCCGCCTCCAGAGCTCTTATCCGTAACCTTGTCCGGCGATTTGCTCTTGCGAGTGTAGGCCCTCTTCGAGTTGGCCTGCAGACGTTTCTCCTTCGGCGACAGTAGAAACTCCGGCTTGTCCTTGGCCTTCTTGTGGCCGCGAACACCGAGGACCAACGAGTCCATAGCATTCAACTGCTGGCCATAGTGGAAATCCACGCCACTGGCATTCTGAACGGTGCGACGCTTGCGCTTCGAGTGGCGCTGATTGAGCTTCTTGAGCACCTCGGGCGTGTAGAGGCCAAAGAGGCCGAGGAACGTCTCCTGGCCGTAGTCCGTCGGCTGGGTGCGGTTCTCGCGCGGCTCATCGCGCCACTGGGCGGCGGATGCGTGGAGCCTCTGCTGCTCCTGCTGCAGTTCCGCACTGGAATCATCTGAGCTGCCGGACGGCGAGACCGAAGGCTGCGGCTGAGTGTTTGATGTGGGCGTCGGCGAGGATTTCCTGCGCGTGTTCCGCGTCTTGTACGCATTGTTCTTCGCCGACGATCCCTGAGATGGCAATTGAGGTGTTGATTTCTTGCTCAAAGCATTGGGTGCCTGGCTGGCGGCAGTATTCGTGGTTATCTCCAGCGGTGGCGGTGACTTCCTCACCTCGCTGGTCTTGCTCTTTCGACTGTTCTCCAGACTGGTGATCTCCAGGTCCTCCTCCTCGTCGCACAAACGTGGCTGCTGCTTGGTCTTTCGAGCCCTCTTCAGGGCCTGATGCAGATTCTTTCGACTCTGGGCCACCACCTCAAAGTCCAGGGGTGGATTTGGTGGTTGCGCTGCGGCTGACGATGTTGACGATGGTGCGGCGGGCGGTGGTGCCACCACTGTTTGGGTAATGGGCGCCAAGGGCGGCGGTGAAGTGCAGGTGATATTCTTCCGCTTGAGCGGATTCGAATCCAGCGAACGGTTCATCATCTCCAGCTGGGATTGAAGTGGTGGCGGCGGCTGCGGTGGCGGCGGTCCAGTCACCGGCGGCTCCTCGACCTTGGGCCATTTGAGCTGCGCATTAACGGCGGCTATCTGCTGACCCAATCCCCTGACCGGCGGAGCCAACATCAGCGGTATATTCTCATCCAGATCGCTGAGCTTCAGCGGCGGCACACCCGCCTCGTCATCCTGGCTGAGCAGGAAATGCTTGCGGATGAGCATCTCCTCGTTGTCGCGACAAATCACCGACTGCGGATTGATCTTGTAGCTGGGATCGGCTATCAAAGGCACTATCTGGCCGGAAACGAACTCGTTGGCCAATTCCGGCATGGTGGCGATGTTGTTCTCCTTTAGCTTCATGCAGAAACCCTCCAGGTCGTCGTTGAGGCGCAGCAGCAGGAACTGCTGCTCGGCATTGATCTCGTACACCTCCTCCTCCAGTTCGTCCAGGATGCGGCGCATCTGCACGGGATCCTAGGGGATGGAGGCGAATGGTGGGTAGAGCGTGAGTTCCACATTAAAAGTCTTCGTAATTGGGGGAAGGTGTGGCGGCGGGATTGCAGGTGCTAATGGCCATTTTAACCCTACGATGGCCAAAACCACTGGGCAAATAATTAGAGATATTTTAGTTAAGGTTTATAAAAGGGAAATGTGTTTTTGAAACGTATATACATATATGTTTAAATACCCTTTCGAAATTTTCTATATATTTATTTCCAAATCATGGAAGTTACTCATGCCTTCTTGGCAAAAAGAAAAAAAAAAGGTTAAAAGTGAAAGTAAGACCAAATGCCTAAAATTGTGAAAGTGATTCTTTGACAGAAAGATATGTTAGTAAAACCATATTATATAAATGGGACAAAGGGAATCCAGTACACATTAAAAGTGTTGTAAAATTTTACTAAAGACTTAGTTCAATTAAAGAGCTCTTGCTTACATGTGGTTCCTTCTGAACCTGTCATTTCCAACCCAGTTATTGGAACTAATATGTTTTCTATGTATATTACTAGTTTTATCCACGAACCAACTAAAAAAAACCCCTCAGAAATGTTCCAAATATGGGTAATGCTAGTGATAAAGCTTTGCAGCAACTTGTTCTAGAAATACGCTCTACATACAGTTCTTTGTGTTGGTAGGAAAAATGGAACTTTCTGTGGCTACTTGGGGGCGCATTCTTATACAAGTCTATGGGTCCACCAGAGGGTTAAGTGGCGATGGCAATCCCGCTGCCGCCGCGGAACCAAAGGGACAAAGAGACTCCTTCTCTTGAAGATGCCGTCCAGTTAACCCACCGCATCCGCCTGCTCCTTGAAGACGTCCGAGACCAACTGTTTGGGGGAATGGCGATAAAGAAAACAAAGAAATTAGGTTCTGGTAACCGAAATGAGGTTCCCCTCCCCCTCCCCTCCCCAAAAAAAAGAAATACCCAACTTACACCGTGGACCTTGAGGAAATCGCGCAACGCACGCTGGCAGTAGATAATATCATTTTTTAGCTCCAGCGGCAGCACGTAGCACTTCTCCATGTAGTACTTGAACTTGGCGTACTCCTTGTGCGTACCCGTTGCGCTGCTCATCTTGGGCCCCCACCGATTTATATGGCGGCTATATAACGACCGATATCGAACGAATCACGCACGCGACTGTTGGATTCGACGCGATTCACTTGTGGGATTTCATGGGCTGCGATTATGTGGGAAACGAACGGGGTGGGGATGCTGTCGGTGTGGGTTGTGGGTAAAAACTATAAATTTGGTATATTTCGAGGCGATATCTCGACGGAGCTGGGCTACTGGGGATCGTGGGATTCACTCGAAAAATTTATATTCAAAACAAATGGCTCAAAAAAAAAATTGCATCAACTGGCGGCGTTGCCAGATCGATGCCCCAGGCCAGGTGAGATGGGCTAGGGAGGAGAAAACGAAAAGGATTTTAAGCGAGTACACCCTCCCGCCATAGCGGCGACACCAACCTGCCCCTCCAGCGTGACTGCTTGGCAAATTTCTGGTATATTTCAACGATAAGAGATGTCATAAAAAGTATATTTAGGGTATTCTCCAAATTATTTATTAGCTAAGTTGTTGGAAATTCGAATAAAAAGCTATTGGTGGAACAACCCTAAATGGTTCCGGTTGAATTTTCAAACAGCTGTGACTATTAATATTTGTCATATTTATTAGTTTAACGTTTTATCTTATAAATGTAAACGAAAATTTTAAAG